ATGTGGCCAAAGTACCAGCTGAAATGAGGACAGACATTCAGAGCAGGGCACGCCTCTCCAAGGGTGAGAAGTGGGTAGAGGTTTCCATTAGCTTCCTTCTTGTTATCATTCCTCTATATCAGCATCCATTGACCTCAACACCCCCTCCTTCTTTCTTACCCTTTTATCTTTCCCTTCCTTTTATCTTCTGTCTCTAACTCCCATCCCTCTCATCTTTCTTTCTAAAAATTCCTGCTAGCCTGTTTTTTTTCCATGCTCCTTCAGCCTTTTCTACTTACTTAATCCTCTTCAAATCTTTTAGCCCAGGTTCCCATCCCCTACACCTTATCTGTTTTTCCTGCATACCTGATCCAAAGGGATCTCTGGAGCACAAGAAAACTTGGCTTATTCCCTACTGTCCTAGCTGTCTAAATAGCTGGTATGTGTCTGAATACTTTCAGCCACGGGTTGAAAGGCCAGTAACCTTCAGGGTTGGCCCAAGCTAAAATTAAGGCTGCAGACACCAGGCACCAAATGTTTCATTCAGTTCTCTGATTTGTCCTCTAGAGCCTCCAAATAGTTGCTGTTAGTATTCTGAGGGAGAGCTCACTGATGGAATTAGTGAGAAACCAGACTGTCGATTTATTTATACCCAGCCTTAGGGCATAACCATTGTGCATGTGTAAAGCTACTGAGATGCAGGGAATATTCTGTAAGTGTGTATGTATAGGTATTGACTGAAAGTAAGGTTGCAGGGAAAAGCTGTTGCCCCAAGGACTGAACAGCGACCAAAAGTGGGAGAGGTTGCTGAAGTGGCTGTGCTGCATTGCCAAAGATCCCTCCTAGGAAACCATTGATCCCTCTGAAATCTTCTGTCTGCTTGTGTTTATTAGCATCTCCCAACTATAATTTTGTTGTAGCTCTGGTTACCCTTGTGGAGAAATTTCTAATTTAACTTTTGGAGTCCTTCCACCTCCTTCAATAATATCTGTGTTATGAAACTATTGCTGCCTTTGGCTGCAGGACTATTTAAGGCATATGAGTTAATGAATAACAAAGTTTTTCTGCTGCATTGTCATTTAGCCTGTGAAGTATTCTGAGGGCAAGTCAAGAGATATCGGAAACATTTAGTTGCAGGTATTTATTTGGTGCATCAGTGCTGAGTGTTAATGAACTGTGTTTCCAGTATGATTTGATCAATTTTGTTTAGGAAAATTTGTTTTGACAACATGGTGGCCAAATGATAAGTCAAGAAATAGCTCATCTTCCTGTTTTCCAGTTTCCTGTTACAGTGAGAGTGCCAATTATGAGATGCAGGTGAGTATCCTTCTGGCCCAGCAGTTATGCTAGCATCAGTTTTGGCAGAGAAGGCAAGAAATTAGTTTAATGAGACCAAGTGTTAATAGACTAAGTGCCTGTTTCATACATCTGATTGGCTGTGTCCTCTGCCTCTGGAATTTGTTTCTTCCTATGAAGATAAATATATCCAAAACTTTGGACTGTTACTAGGTGTCACCTCCTCCCCTGCTGCCTGTTGCAGTATGCAAATGTAAAAAGGTATTAGGAAAAGTTGTTTAGCTCCATTATTCTCTGTAATAGCCAGGAAACAATTGACCTGTTATCCCTTAACATGATGCCTGCAAAAGACTGCATGACAGAGCCCATGGGACTAATTTGTACTGTGCAGTGGAGCAAGATGCATCAAGCTGATGCTGGTCCAGACTGGTGCTTTCGTGTTACAGAGAGCATAAACTGTGGACATGTGGACTGATCTTCAAAGTAGGGTAGTTTTGTTAACATGTTTCTGAGGGTGAACTGATTATGACTGATCAGCTTGTCTGCAGCTTTCTAATGCAGAGATGCTGTTTCCTGCTTCAGAATTTGTTTAGATTCTGCCGGCTTGGAAGATATGCACTATGCTCCACTGCTCACATAGAGATGTCTGAAGGAGGACAGAGATGAAAAGCATTGTGCTGGAGAAAAAGACGGGGTCACTGAGAATCCAAGCTGGCAGGACACTGCAGGGGAGATGCTGTCAGGCAGAGCAGCTTCCTCCTGTACAGCTGTAGCAAATGGACCACATACCATCACTACATGTCAAAACATGACAGCTTCACTGCCATGGAGGTGTGCTTCCTACCGGCTTCTTAATCAAACTACAGTGCACCACTTGCACTGTTTGATTCTTCTTTCTTGCATTTCTTTTAGCGTATTTCCACAACTCTGAGTTGTAAGTACAATATCAAATCTTTTACAGCTGTTTGTGCTACACAACTACAAGGGAAGTGCCTGAAGGCCAGGCATCCCTTTCAGCAATGGAAGTGGAACGGACTGCTAACCACTACTCTGAAGTTCTGACTGCTAACCACTACTCTGAAGCTCCTGCATCACTGGTAGATGCCATCAGTAGCTTTAGTTTGCTGTGTCAGACCTGTCAACAGCTTCAGTTTAGTGGTAGTCATGCTATGCACCTCCAGCTCCACTCCCTGATAAGAGATGAGGAGGGAGGGAGGAAGGAGAGGGAGAGAATGATCTGAGTTAAAAAAGAAGTCTATGTTTGAAGTGAATAAAGTATGTTAACAAGGAATACTCTAGCTGAGGTTTCCAGCTGCTAGTCCTGAGCTGTCTGGTATCAAAGCACTATGGGTCTGTTGTACAACAGCTAACTTCAGTCATGAGCAATTGCTGTCTGAGGCTTCTGAGGTATATTATGGTTTTATTATTATTATTTCTCTGCTCATAGTTTCTTAAGGCCTCTTCATATCTTCAATAAAGCTCCAGGGAATCGTAAAGCCACAGGCTGAGTTTTTGCACAGTCACTATTCGCATCTCCTGGATTGATAGGTATTTAGGATGTTGTCATGATCTTGGAAGCCAGACCCTGAGGTGCACCCCAGGGAAAGCCACGAGACGCTCTTTGTATTCTTTGCCCCTGAGAAAAGAACTCTTTTGCTGTTGAAATGACATATTTTTGTTCAGGAATGTCACCACTTCTGCCTGCTGATTGTAACTGCCACACTAAAATACCTTAACTCTTTTAAAGCAAAATAATAAAACATTTAGGAATCTATGCAGAGCTGCTAAGCACTCTCATCATTTTGCATTAATGGCCCTTAGTTCCCATAAGCCTCTCCCTGTTTTCTTACTGTTATTAATTATTGCTATATTTCATTGTACCATGATTTTGCTTGGCAAAGTTTGCAATGGAGGTGAATAGTATGGAGAGGAGAAATAGTGCCAGAGATTTGCAATAAAAATACTTAAGAGAATGTTCTGAGAGCAGAAATCAGTTCTCCAGAGACCTTAGACCCTGCCTAGCAGTGATGCTATGTATTTTCAGCTTGTTTGTGTGCTATTCGGGGCAGGTCTTGTGCTTACCCAGTTGTCTGACCACTCAGGATATGTTTGCACACTGTATTGTTTTGTGCTGTTCATGTTCATCATCATAATTACAGATTCATGCTTTGCTCACAGGATCTCAGAAAGGAAACAAGATTGCAATATCTTTACTATAGGAAAACATATTAGCTATCGGACAGGGTATTTGTAATGGCAGATGATATTTGCATGTGCTGGATCCACTAGAGATGAAGTGGTAGTTTGTCCTCTAGGAAAAAATTCCTAACAATTATTTATAAGAGAGCTGCAGATGTGTATGTGAGAAATCTATCTCTTCCTTCTTCCATCCACTTGTGTGTTTTTGGCTTAGAAATAACATTTCAGGATGAGAGAGCTGCTCAGATTCAAGGATCCCAAAGTACTTTATAAATGCAACAACTTTATAGTTATAATCTCACTGTGAGATCAGAGCTCAGCCTCCTGTCATCGATTACAGACATACACAGCTTCATTACCTGTAAGATATCCACTATCAAATACCTGGTAGAGAGTCAAGTGCAGGCATGCTGGCGTGGAGCTCACACTGTGCAAGTTCCAGGACTGTGAGCTGGGACTCTTTAACTGGGGAAACAGTGCTGGAAATGGAGCTGGAGCTCCCATCAGAAGATTGACTGCAGAGATGTTTCATGATGCAAAAGCACATAGGGCTGATATTGACAGAGGCAGCAATTGATTCAGCCTCTGATGTGTTAGCACTAAAGACATATGATGTGGTCACTTAATGCTAAAAATGAGGAATCTTTTCAGTTTCTTAGTTTCTTTTTAGTGTATGTGAGCTTTATTTTTCTCCTGCCCTCTCACTGCTTGCATGAAACTGCTATTGATTACATTGACTTCCTGCTATGCGGGCCCTTGGTGTGTTTCTTCTTTGCTACATCTTTATTTTATTTTTTAATTACTGAAAAAAAAAACCCTAAGCACAAACTATTCATAATCAGGGTCCATCCAAGTGAGGATTCACAGCTTGGAGGAGTCCTCCCTTGAAAGATGATGTTGATAATCCAAACCCTGTTTGTGCTTCTCTGTCTTTGCTTGTCTCTGCTCGAGAAACATCAGCGTTTAATAGAAATTCTTTAGAGGTGTGTGTTATTTTGCAATTACTTTGCAATTGATTTCCTTAAAAAACAATTCATAACTTGTTAAGGATCTCTTCCCTCTTTCTCCCCCCTCCCTGTTTCCCTTTTTGTCTTTGCCACTGCCCAGTGTTTACAGTTATGGGACCTGCATTTTTCCCCATTGCTCACGGAGATAACTTGCCCATAGAGAGAAAGAAAAAATGAGTCTTAATGATTTATAAAAGTGGATTTACAGCCAGATCCTCCTGGGGCCTAATTCTTAGCAGAGGACTTCTGCAGATGTAGTGGAGGCAGTTAAACTATTTAAACTGTTTGCGTCTGTTTCCTAGTTTGTAAAGAAGAGGCTATTTTACAATGGCTTCTGTAGACCAAGTGCTGTCAGTTAATTTGCAAATGAATCTGGAGGGCAAATTTCCACGTGTGGCAAATGTGAACAAACCCCTAATTCAGAATTGAAGGAGCAGCTTCTGCAAAACAAGCCTGACCCTTTCCAGGTGCTTGTAAAATGTGCACTCAGCACTGACACTTTCCCCCTGTCTCCATCAGGGCCTGCAGCTGGGAACTCAAGAGCTGGAGGAGATGGGAAGCAAGTTTTGCCTTGGTTTGCTCATTCTGCACCTCAAATCCCTGCCCTGCAGCAAGAAGGTGATGACTCAGGCAGCACTCCTGCTAGACCTGGACGAGGAGATAACAGACCGGACACAAAGGTCAGTGATAATAGTATTCAGAGGGCTCTCCTGTGGGAATCAAGTTAGTGGGGATATGTTTTGGGTTTAAATCTGCACAAATGGACTAAGTATGTCTTGAGATTTGCATTTTGGGAACTGGGGTGATTGAGAGCAATAGGAAATGAAGATACAATTGACTCCCAAAGAAGCTACTAAAATACTGGTTCCATGCCCTGCAGCCATCTATGTGGTTAAACAGGTGAAAGGAAAGAATGTGATTTCTATTTGCCAGTGAATTTCAATTTCCCCATCAAAACTGATTAACAGAGCATAGGTGGATAGTACTGCCCCAGGAAAATGCCTCAACAGGAAACATTTATCTGCTTACTGGAGTGTCAGGTGGTGTTCTGTCCACCTCAGATCCTCCATGGAGAGGATTTCTTACAGGCGTTCTCTAAGGAGCTACAGGGTAGGGAACAAATGTTCCAGATTAGAAAAGGACTTTGATAGGGTGATTTGATAGGCCTGATTCTGCAAGGATACTCCCATAAATTCCTCTTCTCCTCATGTAATAGACCTGTAGATGGTGAGAGCAAAGATTTGTGACTTTTTGATGCATAAGAAGTCATCATGATCCCACTCATTATTTGTTTGTTTTCTATATTCAATGGAAGGATGTATTTAAGCAAGGTTGCACCATTATAACAGGAATCTGACCTGGGTAGGTGTCAGAATATAGGAGTTTTGAGCTTGAATCTGTGGTGAAGCAGAAATTCCTTCTAGTCCACCATCACTTAGTGTGATGTGCAAGCACATGTGCTTGTGATAATGTTTTTCCAAGACAAATGGGGAAAGAAAACTTAGTGATGTGATATGATTTGAAGCTCCCCAATGGCTTTGTCATCACACAGTTCTCTCAGCTTCATCAATGAAAAGCAAGTTTTCCACTTGCAGAAATGCCCCCATAATTTATAGCAGGCTTCCAGTCTTCCCCCTGCAGGAATACTTAACCGACATTACCACCACCTGTTCCTCATGCCAAAAACTGTTCTTACAAGCTTGTTTGCAGCTTTTAATGTTTATGAGGAACAATGAAAAGAGAGGGCTGAAACGCAGAGACATTCCTTCGGATTATCTGTGCTCACTTGTACATGTGAACGTATAAATGAAGTGATTAAGGCAAATGCTAAACACCATCCATGCTGGGGACAGCCATCCAACAAATCACTGCTATGTCATTAGAGACAATTACTGGAGCCTGGCTAGGTGGATGGTTTTGGGATTATAAATCAAACTCTCAGTTTTGAACTGGGACTAGAAGGGCCTTTGCATGACAATAACTTAAGGGAAGAAAAACATTGAACCCTGACTAGTCTCAGGCACTGATAAAAAGCCATCTGCTCACAATAACTCAGTGAGCATTTCCCTGATCTTTATAGTCTTCTGTTACTTTTCCTTTAGTTAGTTGTATATTAATGGGAATTCATTCCATTTTCCCAATATCGTGTGTTAGTTGATCAGTACCCAAATAAAAAGCTGGCTAATTACAAATAATTTCTAAGATGCTAAAAAAAAAGAAAAGTTTCCTTATTTGTAAGACTCCCATATGGTTCCAAATGTGTCCATAGGAGCTGAAAGCAAAGCTTTGTACCCCTTCAAGTCTGCCCAAAATTAGTGAGTACCTCCATGGCATCCAGGGATGCAATGTCACTGCTGAAAGGCAATGTGACAGTGTACTTGCTCATTTTCACTCAACTGGGTATAATTGCAGGTTTGTGGAATTTGAGTAGCTTAGGTGCAATGTGTTACCATTCATTTGTAGAGCAGGTAAACAGCTGAATTGTTTAATCCCACCTAGATATGTCATATTGAAGCAGCTCATTGCAGAAGGTCAGAGGAAGGCAGATGGAGGTACCAAAGGATTTGCTAGCATATTCTTTCTTAAAAATAAATAATTCATGGGAAATTATTGTGTAGAAAGTTGATTCTGAGTCAGAAAATTAATACTTTGCTCCTGGGTTTCTGTGAGTCTTGCCAAGAGAATGGTATGATTTGATTTTAGTGGGAATAGGAGCACTACTGGAGCCAATGGAAGAATGCAGAATATAGAAAGCATACTGGTACTGGGCAGGAGGGCAGCTAATTCTGCATCAATACATTTTTCTGGAGGAAGCTGAGGGGTACCTACATCAATGGAAACTATGCTCTGCTGCTTCCTAGACTAGACTTATCTTAATGGGTTTAAGGAGAGTGAAATATTTATAGTTTAAAACTACCTTTGTCATCTTTAGTGGTTACCACAAAAATGCACAGCATCCTTGTATGCTTTCTATACTCTCTGATTCTGAAAGGATGAGAAGATGGGATTGAAAACACCCCAATTTTTGTGTACCTTTGAGAGTCAGAGTCAGACCTGGGCATCCTTCAGGTGTACACAGGAAAAGTCTGGGCTCTTACCTCTTTCTCACATGAATTGCATAGTGAGCAGTGGTGGCTTTAAACACCTTGCAGGCTGTCCTTGTTCCATAAGTCTGCACTGTCCTGGTCCCGGGAAATGAGATGTCAGATAGATATTTAAGTGGAAAACAATGGCTCTGACTACTTAATCTTTTCTGGGAAAAGAATCTAATGTGTTTCCTAAATACGTGTTTCTGAGTGCCCATCTCTGTCATACTCTGTGTGGCAGATCAAGGCATGGACTAAAAGTTAATTCAGCACTGGATATAGCTGACTCCCGGATGAAAAATCTTATTGCAAAGGTACACAGATCAAAAGCTCTGGAGCCAGAGGTCTGATCTGTTGTGAAATCCCTGCAGTTCATGTCCTCCATTTGTCTCTCTTTGCCCTCGTGTCTGGTATGTGTGGCATTGACTTGGCATCTCAGCATCTCTCTCCGACAGCAAACATTTTCACCTGTCAAGGTTTATAACTGTATGTGTCTTTTAATTTTCCTCTTCAGGCTGTCCCTGCTCTGGGTATTTTGCAGCCTTATTCTTTCCCCACTGCTGTAATGGAATGAAGGAGCAGGCTGGACTCTGCCTGCTTCCCTGGAATAAACTATTTGCTGTGCACTCTATATAGCTCTGTCAGAGTCAGTGGTCAGTAAATTGGAGCAAGGTAATAACTGTCAGGGAAGTGACTGGTCAAATGGAGGCGTCTTGTGTGAATGGAGGATTTCTCACATCAGCTCAGGTCCATTGTGTTCAGTGTACTCTCTCCAATGATTTGAAGAAAGGCGGAGGAAATGTTTTTGCAGACCTAACTAAATACAGTTTGGTTACACAGGCAAGGATTCCTTCCTGTCCCCAGTTTACAGTCTGCCTTTCCCCTAAAGTGTGAGCTGTAAACAAAATCGTTTGCAAACATGAGTGGAGTAACTGCTGGAATAAGTTTGCAGCAGAGGCAGTGTAGCAAAATAGCCGAATCTGAGACTAAGTAAAAGGGGGCTGAGCTTCCATCAGTGGGGATAATGGAATGATAGAGTATTTCTCCTAAAACCACTAAATCCTTGGACATCATGTAGTTGATCTCACAGCTCTGTGTCTTCATGTCTTCAACATGTCTATATGGCAGCTGTCTCATGAACATGCCAAAAGGCGGAGAAAGTATAAGATGCAATGTATATATAAGATAAATTGGAGCTATAGTGTGCAATGGTGAGGGGTTGAATTCATCCAGGTTATTAGTCAGTCTATTAATTAGCACCCCGTTCTCCTGGGACACTTCATATTCCCTCTCGCTTATTCAGGCATTATCACCCTCACACTGCAAATAAAAACTACTTAATGGCTTAGTTGCTTGTGGCTTTGCTTTTCATAAGTGATATTTAGGTGCTTTTCTGCATCAAACAGCCCTTTCTCCACCAGTGTTGACTAGGATTCGTCGTCTGGATCACTCTGCCAAGGTCAAAGTCCAGATATGGGGAGAGTTTTTTGGGCTTTGCAGCTATCTTCAAAAAACAAAGAGATGTGTCAAGTGCTCCTATGGGCTTTTTATTCTGCCCTCTCTCAAACTTGGCCTCATAAGAATGCTATTGCTGTGCCCTTGGAAGAATCACTAATTTTGGGGTTCCGGCTTCCCACTGTGCCTTGCAGTCAGTTCTGGCATTCAGAAGCTCTCTGCTGGGAAAATGAAATGCCAGCTTTTACTTCGGACATCATGTTTTTGATAATAGGTTTCATGCCTCATTTGCTGTAAAAGCAATTAGGTTTTAAGTCAGTGCTGTCCAGGTAACTTCACATTTGTCATGACCACAAAGAGGATGGGAAGTGACTGTTTGTTCACTTAAAGCAGGTTTGAGAGACAGAGAAAGCAAGAACAATCCTCTCTGTAGGTATCCTCCCCTTCTTCCTTGTGGTTTGAACTGGTGGCGCAGTCCTTGATTTTCTTTTTCTCTGCCCTTTTGGTTGTGCTAGGAGATGTTTTGCATACATTGCAGCAGTTGTAGCCATATGTTCGTGAGACACATCTTATATGTTGAGACAGGCTTTTGCGAGGTCATTATGCACTTTCTGCTGACTTAGATATTATTTGTCTCCTCTGTTTCTTCATCATTCCTTACCTTTCTTGAGCAGAGCCAAATCTCTCTCCACCCCACATGGTAAATATGTCTAACTCTGCTATTAATCAAAAGCAGAAAGCTTAATCACTGCTCTGGTCCTTTGACAAGATGTAATCTTTTCTGCTCAGTGTATAGAATCTAACTCTTCCATACATTGAGCAGAGTTAGATTGGCCAGTGTATGGATGGCAAATCTTTGAATTGACAAGAGGGATTTGCAGATCATTTAGGACTGTGCTTGCTCTTCTTCTATACCACATCGATGCACCATTGTCATCCTGGGTAGTATTGAGCAGTTGGATTTCCCATCTTTTCACTACGATGCACCTTCCGTGATTATGGCTGTGCAAGCAATTCCCCTCATTGTTTAAGCTACGTGGCCAAAATGTGATTCAGAACAAACTAAAGTGAAGCTGGGGAAATGAAGCAGACAAGAAAGAGAAAAGTTAAAACAACAAACTTATGCAGATGGAACAAAG